ACGTGCTCTAGTGGAAGGTGTCCCTGCCTGTGGCAGAGGTTTGGACTGGCTCATCTCCAAAGGTCCCTTCCAACCCAAATGATTCTGTGGGTCCATGTTCCGGCCATGAATATCCCTCACGCCTAAGAAGCTGCTGCTTTGCAGCAGGAGAACAACCTCAGCCCTGTCTGTACCCAGTGTGAGCTCACAGCTGCTGGTGAGGGCTGAGCTCTGCCATCTGTGTGCTCGCAGCTCTAATGAGCTGCACAGTGCCAGCATCCCCTTGGGTTATCACCTTCCCCGCTCTCCCCCTGCACTGGGAAGGGTCCACAGCCCATTTCCAGCCACTATTACGTGTTTTAGGATGACAGAGCATCACTCCCACCAAGGGTGACCTGCGACACCCCCTTGCCAGCCCTTTCTGCCAGGGCAGCTGCGGGGACAGGAGCACACTGCGTGGGATGCTGCTGCCAACAGCCATGGAGGGCAAGGAGCTTGGCGTGGTGTGAGGGCAGCCAGCATCAGCAGAGCTGCATGGCTGAGCACCATGTCCTCCTGCTGGTGGTTCTTCATGTTGTGCAAGTGTCATTGGTCAGAGTGAAGCTCCCAGCAGTGGGATGTTTTTTTCTGCATCTTTATAAGCAGCTCAATCACTATCAAGAACAAGAAATGCATCCCTCTTTTAACTGCAAGGAAAACTACCTCCAAACAAAGCCTTCCATAGCCCTGAAGAGCAGTCCAAAGGCTTTAATGTTCTCACAAGCTGATCTAGTGGAAGATGCCCCTGCTTACTGGGAGCAGGGAGGGAGAGTTGGACTGAATCTTTGAAGATCTCATCTAACCTCAACTGTTCGGAGTCTGTGATACTGTGAAACTCAATTTCTGGCATAGTGGGGAAAGGGCAAATTCAAGAGATGTGTTTGGATGAAGGATGCATGTGATGCTCTGTCCTGCCCTTCCTGAACATCTGCAGGGCTGTTTGTAGAGCTCATCTGGGTCAGACAGCAAGGTGGGTCCCAGCATGGGTGCTCCCCAGGCACAGCAGCCAGCTCAGGGGGGGTCAGTGCTCAGCAGCACCCTGGTCAAGTGTAATGCTGAGGTTTTCTGGTGTATTTCCTGGAGAAGGGAAAGCAGCCACATAAGGTGAGTGTGCTCTGCATGCAGGGGCTGACAGCTCGCTCAGCCTGGGGCAGGCACTCGTCCCCTGTGTCCCTGTGGGGCTGGTGCTTGGGGGAGCCCTCCACTGTGAGGAGGTAAAGTGGGACCACGCTTCTGGAGCGAGGACACTTGCCCCAGACAAACTCTGGCCAAGCCAGCGTGCCCCAGCCCCTGGGCTTCCCCACCAGCCTGCCCAGACAGGTTGGGGGTTTGATGCTCAGGGCACAGGGTTCTCCCAGCCAGCCCCAGCACCATGGAGTGACTGCTGCATGTCCGTCCTGTGCCCATGCCAGGTCCAGCACATCCTGGCAGCGTGGCAAGGCCAGCAGGGCTAGACCCAGGGCACCGCTATGGCCTCAGGTCTGGGCTGCTTGGGCACAAGCTGTGGTATGGGTGAGGAGGGTGATGCCATCCTTGACTCTCAGGTCTGCTGCCACCACAGGCTGTCTTCTGGGGACTGAAGGTTATGCTTGGGTTGGGCTTGGGTAAGGAGTGTGTCTGGTCCATGCCCTGCCCCGGGGCCACATCAGTGCTGCTATAGGCCCCCTTGCACTTCATCACACTCCTCGGAGCAGCTTTTGGGCTCAAAATGCTTTTTGGGCTGCTAGAGGTGCATGGGGTGCTCAGGGCTGAGCCAGCCCCAGCTCAGGGGTGCCAGGACTCTCCCTCCTGCAGGACCCTCACCCCCTTCTCCCTTCCTCTCCCCTCTGCAGCACTCAACGCTGTCACGCAAGTTTGTGGAGGTGATGTCCGAGTACAACGCCACGCAGACTGACTACCGGGAGCGCTGCAAGGGCAGGATCCAGAGGCAGCTGGAGATCAGTGAGTAAACCCGGCAGGGGAATGCAGCCAGGTCATGGGGCCATGTCCTACACGGGCTCCCACAGATCTAAGCAACTCCTGCCACTGTGCAGAGTTCCCCCTTGGAAACCCACAGTGCACGGGGGCTGTGTGCTCACCCATGGGAGCAACCAGGACACAGCTTCTGCTGGGAGATAGTCACAGAATCATAGAATCACAGAATGGTTTGGGTTGGAAGGGACCTTCAGAGGTCATCTAGTCCAACCCCCCTGCAATGAGCAGGGACTTCATGTGGTGGTATTTCCAGTTCAGTGTCAAACTGCATCCAGCAAAGCACAAAGAACTCCCCTCAGGTTTCCCTGACTGCTGGATGGAGAGCGCAAAGAGCACAGGGAGGGACATTTCTTCCTTGGCTGCAGCTAATTCTGAATTCAGAGAAGCTGGCGGGGATTGCTGACTGCCATGTCTTGCCTTCCCTTTCCTCTGGGTGATTTTCATTGCCAGTGAACTGAACTAAACATAAAACCAGACAACAGACCTCTTGAAATGGGGGCACTCAGTGCTCCCAGCAGTTTCTCTTGCTGGACAAGGAGCACAAGCCTCAATGTCTGTTCCAGGCATCTCCCAGGACCCTGGTGGCTCCTGGCAGCAGTAGTGGTGTCTTCGGGTGTCCAAAGGTGGCCGCCAGGTGACACCTCCAAGAAGTCACCAGCATGCACTGAGACCATGCAAAGCCCACACTTAGGAGAAGCCTGGTCCTGCCTGCCCACAAAACCCGCTGTCCTGGTGGTTCTTCGGGGCCACCAGTGACACTGAGTTTAGTTTAAATCGTCTCAAAGCAAAAAAGAACCACAGCACCACTGTAATTAGGGGAATAAGCAAGCAAGCAAGGGAGAAGTCAGAGTGTGCAGAGATTCAAAGAGATTTCTGCAAATAGCCTCATTTTCAGATGTGTTCATGGTTTTGGGGGCTCAAATGGAAGAATCTGAATCCTAGTCCAGGGTTGGGTTTTTTTCTTACAAGCAAATGGGTTGTTTTCTTCCCTTTTACAACTCACAGTGAGTAATAAGGTAAGAGATTTTTGAGTCAGAATGGTGTCCTTGATAGGATCTGTGGGGATGTCCCTCAGGAGCTGCAGATGCCTAGGAATCTGCATGCTAGTGGGGTATGGTAGTAGTTTCTTTGAAGAGCTAGAAGGAGACTTGGCTGTGAAGCCTTTCCTCTGTTAAGATTAGTCTTTATGATCTATAATAATAAGAGAAATGATTCACACTGTCTGAATGGAAAGACTGACTGACACGAAGCTCAGCAATGCCTTGATGTAAGGCAGGATGATGAGTGTGTCACTGCTCCAGCTGACACCAGGCTGTCAGGGTTACCTAGCCAGAGGGGTGGCTTGGAATGGAAACAGGAATTGAGGTATTTCTGTACGTCCCTTCTAAGAGAGAAGATTTGAAAGGACTTACTCAGGTCCTTACTGTCTGCAGACCTGAAAAAACCTTCCTCTTGTTTTTCTACTCCTGGATTTTGGAAGGACTCAGATGCTTTGCTTAAATGATGGAACTATGTTAAGTTATAACTGTCTTTGCTCTGTTTATCCTGTGGGGCTGTCAGTGCCTGGCAGAGTCTGAGGAGGTGCGAGGAAAAGGCTGCTCAGGCCTCACTGTGGTGCAGTGGCTGCGTGCAGAGGAGGTGTCCTAGTTAGTGATGAAGAGGGACCTGCTTCCCCTTTGTGCGGAGGTGAGGAGCAGCTGCAGAGGCAGGATGGTGTCTCTGCTGGGAAGGTACATGATCCTGTGCACAGTCCTTTGCAAGAGCTGGGTTCCTCTGTCAGGACAGTGGGAAATCTCTTCTGACAAAAAGGCTTGTCAAGAGCCACAAGATTATTGAGGTTTACCAGGAGTGCTTCTGGGCAGAGGGCTCTGCTTGGCCTGGAGTGTCCCAGTGGGGACCTTCAGTCCCTGCTGCTCTGGGGGCTCTTGGACAGGTTCTTTGGAATGGAGCTCAGCTGGAATGTGGTGACTGCACGAAGCTCTACGAAATCCTCAGCTCTTTTCAGCTGATGAATCCGAAGATAGAAAGAGCCAGGAGCAAAGCCAGCAAATGAAAGTATGAGAGCAGGGACTTCTCAGCTGCTCTGGGGAGGCTTCCCCACACCTGGCGAGCTTCAGCTTGCCCAGATCTGCTTCTTGCTGTGGAAGTAGGATGGTCACAAAAGAAATGGTGGTGTAGAGTCACTGCCCCAGGCCATAGCCACCCCCTGGGGCACCCCACAGACCTCTCAGGACCTGCCCAAAGATGCCATGGAGGGATCCCAGGATGTGCTGTGTCCCGGGGTTGGTGATGGCAGGACAGCAGCTTGGTGGCTGTCCTCTGCTTGGACTGTGCCTCCCTCAGCTGTGTCCTCACTGCAGTGTCTGCTGCTGGGAGCTGTGCTCCCCCAGCACAAGCCTATGGTGGGAAGTGTTGCTCCTTGGCTTTTTCCCTCTCTGTTTTGTCCATTATGACAAATCTGATTAGGTTTTTCTCCCGGGGAAACTGGATTTGAGGCTTAGAGGCACTTCCTGTGGTGTGTGTGGAGATGCTGCACAGACACTGCTTGTTTTTATGAACAGTTTTGTTACATGTGAGACCGAGGAGCCAAAAATAAGGCATCTGCTGTCTCCAGAGGCACTGCAAGAATCAGCCTCTGCCTCACTCTGCAAGACTGGGTTAACTGATGTGTAGAGAGGCAAGCTGTGGATGTATCTCAAGCTGCCCTTTAGCCAGGAAGGTTGGGGGGCTGCTCTGGCCCTGGCAGCTCATGAGGGCAGCTCACGTGGTGCTGAGATGGGCTATTCAGGATTCCTGTGACACTCTCCTGTCAGGAATGAGCAGTGTTTATCTGAGCTGGAAGTGTCTCGCTGGATGGAAATGCCAGCACAGTGCTGAAGTTGGCCCCTGCAGCCAACTGAGCAGGAGGGTGTGGAGAGACAGGGAGGCTGGTGGCAGTTTGTGACATGCTGGGCTGTTACAGATGAAGTCGGCTCATCCCAACCACCCTGCAGGCAGTGTAAACCTGTCTGAGCTGGAGGATGGCAGTGGGTAACACTGCCCTGTCCACCCATGCCTGTAGAGCTGCAACTTCTTACAGCTCTGGGGGCACTAACAGGTCTTCATTGTTTAGACCCACATCACACAGGGTGTCCACCTCTGCCCATGGGTCCAAGAGCTGTATAGGATTAGGCCTGGCCACGCAGCCCCTGTCTGAGCCATGCTACAGAGGTATGTCTCCAGCCCTGACTCTGGCCTTGTTCCTGAAGTAGACTCAGGTCTATGTTCAAGATAGTCTGTCTCCAACTCTTTCTCCTGAGACTTTGGATCTTTGTTGTACTCATGTTATAGGATCATGGACTCACAGAGTGGTTTGGGTTGAAAAGAACCTTAAAGATCATGCAGCTCCAACCCCCTGCCATGGACAGGGACACCTTCCACTAGAGCAGGTTGCTCCAAGCCCTGTCCAACCTGGCCTTGAACACTGCCAGGGATGGGGCAGA